AACATCACTAATCATTAGAGAGATACAAATTAAAACAATACTGAGATTTCACCTCACCCCAGAAAGAATGGCCTATTATCAAGAAATCAAGGAATAACAAGTGATGGAGAGGTTTTAGGGGAAAAGGAACCCTTCTCCACTGTGGCAATGACAACTGGTGCAACCACTGTGAAAATCTGTGTAGAGATTCCTCAAAAAACTATGCTAGAGGTCCCATTCAAACCAGTTATTCCCTTCTGGGTATCTTCCCAGGATTAAAAACATCATATCACAGTGATATGTGTGCACTCATGTTTACAGCAGCACAATTTGTAATAGCCAGATCTTGGAAATAACCTAAATTCCCATTGACTGAGGAATGGATAAAAAAAGTGGTATTTTTATACAATGGAGTACTACTCAGCCATAAAGAAGAATAAACTTTATAGGTAAATGGATACAACTTGAGACCATACTTATTAGTGAAGTAAATAAGACACACGTGTAATCATCACATTGTTTCATTAGTATGTTAAGCCGAAAGAAGCAACATGTGTATATGTATGTAAAAATAGTTAAGGTAGTTATGCTACTGATTTCTCTTGCATTCTGAAGAAAAACACTTGTGCTCATATTGTTTGGACAATAGAATGCAGATATCTTGTACTCTGGGTGAGTGATTTGGGGATGCAATGTACAATATATGTACCATTGTTGTGCCCAATTGATGTGTGTTGTAATTTTGTTTTAGTTTTTCTTCTTTTTGTTTTTCTACTTGAAATAAAATGGACTTGTAAAAAGAAAGAAATCAACCAATAACAAATGCTGGCAGGGCTTTAGGGAAAAAAGAAATCTCCATTATTGGTGGGAGTGTAGACTGGTGCAACCGCCATGCAAATCAGAGTGGGGATGCCTCATAAAACTAAAACTAGAGGTTCCATAAGATTGAGCTATTCCTCTTCTTGGCATCTTCCTGAATTAAAACATCACATCTGAGCAGTATATGCACCCACATTTTTATAGTGGCACAGTTTATAATAGCTATCTGGAAACAACCCAAATATCCATTATCCAATGAATGGATAAAGAAAATGTGGTTCTTTTATAAAGTGGAGTATTACTCAGTCATAAAAAGGATAACATTGAGAAATTTCTAGGTAAACAAATGTACCTTGAGAAATAGTGAAATAGATTGGACACACATGTTAATACCACATAGTTTCTCTGGTATGAAAAACTGAAAGTCTAAATAAAGACAAACATATAATAGATATTGTGAAATAGGAAGAAACTGTTCAAATGGGGAAGGGAAAAAGATAAGGAGGTGGGGACAAGGATGGAATTGAAGAGAAAAAATGAGAAAAAGGAAAAAATGGAAACAAATGTTTTTAAATAAGGAGGGGAAGAGGGGTTGAAATGAGGTAGGGAAATGGGGAAAAAGATGAATCAAGATATATCATGTATAAGTACAAATTCCGTATGATAATGTGATCATTATGTATCCCTATAATGTGCTGATAAACTTAATTTAAAAATGTTGAATCAGTATCCAAACTGACTGTGTAAAAATGATGCCATATTTGTCCCAAGCAACAAGTTCAAATATGACTCCATGATGAGGTGTCGCAGACAATTATGAAATTCCTTGAAGACCATGATTGTTGTCTAATGAAATCAGGGCTGTGCATATTTTAGTTTCCAATTGCTAATGGAAATTCCAATTTGGATATCCTGAGTATCCCTTTCTTCCAGAAAGATCCCTCTAAGCAGAAAGATGCCTCTCTGTAATATCACTGAAAAACAACTTGTCCAATTTAAATTACATTTGACATGTAAATATTGCCAGGCATGACTGTGTCCATATGTAATCCCAGCAGTCTGAACACTGAGGCAGTAGGATTACTGTGAGTTCAAGACCAACCTGGTTTACACAGTGAATTTAAGTTCAGACTGAACTACATAGCAGACCCTATTAAAAAAGTACAAATTGAGAGGAGAAATGTATTAAAGTAAGCAGGAGATATTTTTCTGTTGTATCTTCCATAGATGAAGCACAGGTTTGTCTTTTTGTAAGAGATCAGTATATACTTAAACTTGTATATATTTATAATCTCAAGGCTTGGCTGCTTGAGGCAGGAGGATCACAAGTTTGAGTCCTGCCTGGGCGATTTAATGAGACTATCTCAAAAATAAAAAGGACTGGGAATGTAGTTCTATGTGAAGGTCCTGGATTCAATGTCCAGTAGCACAAAAGACAGATAGAGGCACAGAGACATGGAGAAAGAAGTGGGGAGGGGAGTGTCTCAGTTACTTTTCTCTTGTTGCTGAGATAAAAATACTGGGCACCCAAAGTCAAAGAAGAAAAGGTTTCTTTCACTCACAGTTTGTGAAGGTTTCAGTCCTTAGTTGACTGGCTCCAAAGCAAGGTGGTATGGCACAAGGGCAGCAGTTCAAGGTGGCAGAAGACTGCAAAAAAGCAAGAAGACCAAAAGGGGGAAGAACAAGCCTATTTGCTCCCTTATATTGTCTACCCATCTTGGGTGAGTGTAGCACTCACATCTCTGCGCTCTCCTCTTGCACAAGATGAGCTTGTTTACAAAGGACGAACCCTGGCCGTCTGTAGAGTCACTTACTGAAACTTCTAAACTCAGATTGACACAATGAACAATATCTTAGAATGGTAAAGGCATGTATTTTGTCCCTTGGATGCAAAACTACTGTGTTACTTAGTTAAGATTCTAGACTTTTCAAATTGACACAGCATATCAACCATTACAACCCACCCCTTGTCACTTGGCAACCATATTTCTTTAAATCGGTTTCCAGATACAGACACTTGGTTATTCTTATTTCACAAACTGAACATAATAATACAGGTTTCACAATCCTTAAGAACCAATATTAAGTCTTTCAATATTATATTACATTAAAACCATAAAATTTTGCTCTTAGTCCCCAAAAGACTCATGCACACCCCTTTTTGTAAAAGGCATTTAGTCCGTATCTAAGAATTTCCAAAGTCCTAACAATTTCAACATTGCTGAAAATCTAAGTCCCAAGCCTCCTCTGAGATATAAAGCAAACTCTTAGCTGCAAGCCACTGTACAAATGAAAAGTTAAACATTTCCAACATTCAATGGCACAAAATAAATATTTTCACTCCAAAAGTTACAAAAAGGAGAATACAAAGCTTTGGGACTAAAGCAAGTTCAAAATCCAGCAGAGCAAACATTAGGTCCTATATATCATTTTCAGCATCTAAGGCAATATGTGACAAGTTGTGACTCTACAAGGCTTGAGTGGATCTACCCCTACAGTACTGATGGTTGTAACTCTCATGGCTTCTCTCTTGGACTTTGCTCACTCCTTGCAGATTTCCTCAGATGATACACATTTCTGGCTTTTCCCAACTTATGGGATCTCCACTGCACCTTTGGCTTCATAGTCACAGCTTCACATCTTGTCCTCACAAGGGCACACTGCCTGGCATCCTGGGCCTTCTGAATTTTCAGTGGAAGTCTTCTTAACCCCACAACTCTTGCATTCTGCATGTGCCTAAAACCAGCACCATGTGGATGATGCTAAGGTCTGCTGCCAGCTGGAGCAGTAGGCAGGCTCTTCTTTCACTTGGCTGGAGGTGTCAAGTGTCTGCATCACTGGGCACCCTGAATCCAATTCTGAGGAGCAAACTTTCCATGCTGTCACCATTCTGGAATATGGTGAAGCTGTTGCCATTCTGCAACATGTGTTATGCTAATTTCTCCTCAAAGCAAAGTCTCAGTTTTGCAGTTTTGAGGCTACTAAGGTTGGAGATCTGCTGCTTCTTGTGATGCCTTCAGGTCATCCATTATATTCTATTCCTTCTTAGCAACAGAGAGCTCCATCTTTTCAGTCCATGGCTTTACTAGAGCTTCCTTTCTGGGCAAACTCACAACATTTTGAATCATTCTGCTGGGCTCTTTGTTCTTGATTATCAACATAAACCTGGCTAAAAGTCCCAACAATAGCCATGCCATCAGCCCAACATTTGACTGCCTTCAAATTTCTTCTTTTGGAATAATTAGTCTGATACCCTTAATCAAAGTCTTCGGCAAAGTCCCTGGACATGAGCAAAATGCAGACAAACTTTCTGCCAAGGCATAGTACACATTCTCTGGAGTCTAGCAGTCAATGCAGTCCTTCACAGCAGAAACCTCCTGAGCTTTGTCTTTACTATCTTTTCTAGTCTTCTTAGCTCTGGCCAGAATCGCCCATACAGAACAGCCTAAGAAGTTCCAGCACTAGTTTAGCAGGTGACATCTCCTAACCTTTCCAAAATTTCCCATGAGCCATTCCCAAAGGTTCTTGAATCATATGGTCAGGTATAGTCACAGCAACTGCCCCATTTCTCTGATACCAAAATTCTGTCTTAGTTACTTGTCTCTCTTTGCTGGGACAATATACCTGATACCCAAAATTAAAGAAGGAAAGGTTTATTTAGCTCACAGTTCATGGAGTTTTCAGTCTTTAATTAATTGGCTCCAAGGCAAGGCGGTATTGTGAGGGGCAACAATTCAAGGAAACTAAAGACAGAAAAAACAAGAAGATTAAAAGAGGGAAGAGCAGGCTAGTTTTACCCCCTTACATTGTATGCAGGCTATCTGTTTTGGGGGGGGGTATAGCACTCACAACATCTCTGTTCCCTCTTGCACAGAATGAGGATGTTTACAAAGTGAGGACCCTGGCCCCCAGCTGGATCACTTACTTAAACTTCTAAACTTCTCAAATTGACACATGAACCAACATCTTATAGTGATAAGGGCATGTCCTCTACCCTCTAGGATGTAGAACTGTTGAATTACTTAGTTAAGCTTCTATACTTCTCATGTATCAGTCATTATAGAGAGACATGAAAGTGTGAGAGAGAGACAGAAACAGAGACAAGAGAGAGGGAAGGATGGAGGGGAGGTAGGGAGAGGAGAGAAACAGAGATACAGAGACAGAGATACAGAGAAAGAAATATGGATCATTGTGTTTTCCAGATTGGCTCCAAACTCCTGGACTCCTGCATAAGGTGACTGGATCATGGGGTTACTCTGTAGCTGAATGTGCTGTAAGGAGGTAAGGACTCATCAGAAGAGGTAGGTCACTGGGAACAGGACCTGGAAATGTATATATCTCCCTCACTGGTTCCTTCCCTCTTTGCTTCCTGGCTTGCATGGGCTCAGAACCCTTTATCCACTATGCCTTAGTGCCATGCTATTTCTGCCTTGGAGACAGCTGACCATAGATAAACCTGTGAGCCAAAATAATTGTCTCGTCCTTTAAGTTACGCATGCTGGCTATTTTATACCAGTAATAAGTGACTAAAAACCAGCCATGGTCATGCAGGCCTGCCATCCTAACATTTGGAAGGCCGAAGTAGGATGATCACTGTACATTTGAGGCCAGCTGAAGCTACATAGTGAGTTCAACTACAGAGTGAGACCCTGTCTTAAAAAAACAACAAAAAAGTTACTATTACAGTTGATTTCAAGGGACTGTGTGTGTAAAACAGACAAACGGAAAGGAAATACATTTATTCTAGCAGTTTTGTCCTTGTGACTCCTGGCTGCATGAACAGTATACGGAAGACCAAGGAAGGTGCCCTTTACATGAACCAACACCTTCTTCACTACTACTGAGAGCTTCTGTACACATGGATGCTAACACATTCACGAACACAGACACACTCAGACCTCATATGAATCTGTTAGACACAGTGAAAACTGTGAGGCTCTGATGAAGCATGAGGGTAGAGAGAAATATTTCCAATATATTGTGAGTGTAGCACTCACACTTTAATCCCAGCATTGAACCATGAATCAATCACATTCTAGATTCAGCCACCTCTGAAAAGTCCATCCTGCCATGACTGAATGAGGGTTTGGGGAGATATAGACACAACTGTATCAGCTTGCATCTTATTTAGTCCCAGATAATTCATACAAAAGAGATGATTTATATGTGCAGCACATGTGGAATAGTTTTTGGTTGGAATTTAAATCTTTTTGTTTTTTTGTCTTTTTCGTTTTTATTGGTACCAGGGATCGAACTCACGACTGCCTGCTTGGAAGGCAGGCGATTATGCCACTGAGCTAAATCCCCAGCCCCTGGAATTTAAATCTTATTCAAACTCAGAGAATCCACACAAGGGAGGAACTCTATGAATGTAACCAAGAAAGACTTTTATCTAGTGCTTTAATCTAATAGGACATCAGTGAATTCACACCACATAGAGACCAGATAAATGCAGTAACTATACAAAAACTTGCAGCTGAAATTCATGGCTTATTGAACACCAGAAAGTAGATGCCATCAAACTGTAATGAGTGTGGGAAGTCTTTTAGTAGGCATGAAAAGCATCATTGATCTTCTCATGATAGCACACACCTGTATCTTAGTACTCAAGAGGCTGAAGCAAGAGGATTGCTGTGAGTTCAAGGCTAGCTTGGGCTACATAGTGAGTTTCAAGTCATCCTGAACTACATAGAAAAAACCTTGCCTCAAAAAAACAAAACAAAAACCGCAAAAAGCATCATAAACTTCACACTGAAGAGAGACCCTACACTTGTGTCATATGTGAGAAGGCCTTGAGTTGGAATTCCCACCTCAACTATCATAGATGTCTTATTTCATAAACTTAATTCATGATTCTGGTCAGACACTGAATTAGATGAGAACCAAATCAAATTTTCCCAGAAAGTCAGTGTTAAACCTAACCATTGAATTTGATTTAGTTCTCATGCAATTTGGTTTATGATCAGAATCATGGAAAGAATTAAGTAGATGAACCAACTGTATTTAGTGTCAAGAAATTCACAAGAGTAAAGTCCTATGAAGGTAAAGACATAAAAAACCTTCAACTGTAGTTCATATCTTATTGGTCACCTGGAAATCCATACAAATGAGAAATATGAATAAAATCAGTGCAGTAAAATACCTTTGAAGTTTTAGCTTTTTATAAAAATTGGAGAATTCAACTGGGGAGAAAGTCTTTGAGTGTGAAATGGGAGGGCCTTTAGTCCTAGCTCAGCTCTTAGTAAGATACGTGAAGAGTGACACTGTGGACAAACCTTTCGGATGTGTTCAGTGCATGAGAGCCTTCAGAGTTCCAAGCTTATTTAGCAATCAGTGTGTTCACTTCATAGGAATCTGTGGGGTAAGCCTTGTTTTCAGAAAGCCTTGCTACGTGTTGGGCAATCTGCACAAAGGAAAAAAGCAAGTATAATGCAACATTCAAAGATGATGACCAGAGACTGAAACTTCAATTAGCACTACTTTTTACTTGATGTTGAGGATTTACGTCAAAGGGAGATTTTGTGGTTTGCTTTCCTAATTTCTGTAATCATCCCTTGACAATGGAGTAAGTTAGATCCAACTGAGGGAAGAAAGAATCAGGGAGTTCTGGATTCAGATTCATGTCAGGAAAACAGTAGATGACCTTAGAACCCAAATAGCTTTGCTTTTCTCTCCTCTGTCTTGATATATCTGTAGACAACAGTGCTTAGATCTCTTTTGATCAATATTTTGCTTCTCCATATTCTACCAATTACTGAATCTTTTTTTTTATGTGGTGTAAATGGGCAAGTTTTTAAAATCAAATAATTTCTCACTATGGCATGTTGTCATGCGTTTGTTGTATGTTGGCTTGGCTAGGCCAAATCGCATTTACCAGTATTCTTTTTCTTGAATGTTCTTGCTCAGACAGGCTAAAAGAGAGATTCTTGAAAGACTTGGAGGGAAGAAAACAGCATTATTTTGTAGCTTGCACATGTTGCTGCTAATTTGCATGTCCTTCTCGCCTTAAAGCAGTGGCTGGACTACAATTTTTCTACCTTCCTTTGACTCTTCCTTGCCTTTATTGGGTCAGATATATTAGCGTGTGAGTCTACCTCTGTGACAGAGGACCTTAAGTTCTACAAGATACCCTCATTCTCAAATGTCAGAGACAAAAAGAACTGACTTGGCTTCATTCCTCACGAGGTTCCAGTTCATGTTGGGGGTTCCAGGCTGCTTGTGATCTTCTTTTCCTATCTGTTCACCTGTAGACTTTATTCTTCAGCATTCAAGAGACACTTCAGCCTTTCAGTCATTGCTCAACGAGCTCCCGCCATTGTGTGAAGCCAATTTCCTGTAACAGATCTCTTTAAGTATATGCATTTCCTAGTGGTTCTGCTTCTGTAACTGAACTTTACTGATACACATATGGAACTACCTGCATTGAGAGTTCCAAGAGAAATAATAGGGTACAGATAGAAGTATAGAGAGATTTATTGTAAAGGATTAGCTCATGTAATTAGAGAGACAGAAGTCTCAAAAATCTGTTGTCCACAAACTGGAGGTCCAGGGAAGTGGGTAATATAGCCCAGTTCAGATGTTAAGGCCAGGGAACCAGGGAGCCACTGGAGTAAAAACCCAAGGAGCAGGAGAGCCACTGTCAAAGGGCAGGAGAGGATGGATAGCTCAGCTCAAGCAGAAGGCACATTTACCCTTCTTTCACCTCTCTGTTCTACTAAGATCTTTGAAGGACTGGATGATGTCCTTTTGCATTGGTGAGGGAAGACCTTCTTTAGTGAACCTATGAATTTAAATGCTGATTTGTTCCACAAATGTCATGCATCCAGAAACAATGTTTCCAGAAATGATGTTTTACTGGCTATCTGGACATCCCTTAGCCCAATCAAGGTGACACATAGAATGAACCATCCAATATCCTTATGATACATATTTATTTCAAGTTTAAGTGGAGAGAAATGGTTAAATTCTGTCTTTTTTTTGTCTTTTTGAGACAGGGTCTTGCTATGCAGTTCCGGCTGGCCTTGATCTCACTTTGTAGTTTATGCTCGTCTTGAACTTGCAACGATCCTTCTGCCTCAACCTCCCAAGTGCTGGAATTACAGGCATGCTCCATCACTCCCGGTTTCTGTCAGATATTTTTAACCCAATAATATTTCCAAGGTTTCTTATCAGAAATAGCTATTGTTCAAACTAGACTGCAACATAAATTAAGGCATCACCTGAGGTAGAGTTCCATGTTATGTGATTGTCAAGGAAAAAGTTTGGTAACAGTAACAGCTTGGTAAACTAGTCAGGTGAACCAGCTCATCTTGAAGAGACGAAGAAAGCTCGTTCCATCTGCTGCTTCCCCTCCCCTTCTCCCTTCAAATCCAACTAGGTTAAGTTTTAACTTCCTAAAGGCCATAAAACAAAGGCCTGAGGTACTAGCTCCTGACATCCTGGGTCTTCCCTATCTGGTAGCCCCGTCACAAATTGTGTTAATTGCATCAGATTGTATTAGATTGTACATTCTTCACAGAAATAGCTTCGTTTATATCATAGTAATACCTGTAACTGTAAATGTGTGTCTTCCTTTTCCCCTGGGTAAAAGATTGATATGTTAATCAATGCTCTCATCTGTAAAGAATTGTAAAATCTTACCCAATTGATATGTTAACCATTGTTGCCCTCTACAAATAGAAAGGTTGTGGTGCTAAAGTAAGGTAATTATGTCAGGAAACTCAGAGATAAAGTCTGCTGACTATGCTAATCAAGATTGGGAAGTATGTCAGAACCAAGCCACACAGGAGCTAGGTGACCTAAAAATAAGCTGTGCAAAACAAGACAGTTAATCAACTCTGACCCACTGGTCGCCCCTCATGATCTGACCAATCACAAATGGACAAATCACCAACTGTTCTGCTCTAACTGCTATGATTGGCTTCTGTAACAATGCTTGCTTACTTTGCGGTTTTCATCCTTAAAAACACCAGCCTTGCCCCAACTCAGGGTTCTCCGTTTCCACCTGTTTGGAGGACCCCGTGTACACGGAATAATAAAAACCCCATTGTTTTTACATGAGAGCGAGGCCCTTAGAGTCTTCCTCGAGACACCGGTCTAACATTTTGGAGGCCCTAGCGAGATCAAACTGAGAAGAGACCTCCTCGCAGAGGGAGACCCCAACGGCACCTCTCTGGGGTAAGTAGTACGGCCAGTTTTTGTTTACTTTCATTTTGGATCGATCCGCCATTTCCTTTCGCCCCAGGCCGAACTCCGGCTCTACTTCACGGGCAAATTCTGTTCTTGGGTGATCGGGGGACGCCCCACACGGTTTTCCGTGACTCACCGTCTGCGATAGGATTTTCCTATCGATCTGGGGAATTTCATTCCCAATCTGTGGTCCGTCTGGGCCAATCTGGGGAATTTCATTCCCAATCTGTGGTCCGTCTGGGCCAATCTGGGGAATTTCATTCCCAATCTGTGGTCCGTCCGGGCCAATCTGGAGGCACCCCCTAAGGTGACTCGTTTGATGTGAAACTAATGCGTGAGAGTGAGGTGGCCGGCCTGTTTGTCCTGTGTGTTGTGACTGTTGTGATCGGTTATTTGTTGTGTCGCGCGTACGCTAACCACTCTTTGTCTTCAGAACACCATGGGACAAACGACATCGTCCCCATTGTCCCTCACCCTCGACCATTGGTCGGAGGTTCGAGAGAGGGCTCACAATCTCTCCTTTCAGGTTAAAAAAAGTAAATGGCAGACTTTCTGCTCGTCTGAGTGGCCCACATTCTCCGTGGATTGGCCACCGGAGGGGACTTTCCACCTTCCCCTCATCTTAGCAGTTAAGAACATCATCTTCCGCCCTGGATGAGAGAGCCACCCCGACTGGATCGCCTACATCTTGGTATGGCAGGACCTCAGGGAGGAGCCCCCACCGTGGGTAAAACCCTTCCTTCCTCCGCCCTCTCCTTGGTTGCCTGTTTAAACTTGTTACTAACTTAGGGGCTTGTTGCCCATTTCTGTTGCAGGATCCATATGGCTTATTAGATTCAAGGTTCATGATAAGAAAAATTATTTCCTTTAGCTGACCAAACTGTGCAAGAAGCTCCCTTTGTTTGTGTCTTTAATGTTGTGGTGCCTTGTTTAATATGTAAGACTTCAATTGATTGCTTGCAACCTCGGCATGCCTTTTAAAAGGAGTATTTTTTTCTCTCTGGTGAAAATGTAAACATGTGCACATATATATGTATATCTATGGTTGTTAAGAGTCATGTCAACTTTGCCAAGTAAAAACCAGGCGGTACTATATTTGAGCCAGTTAAAAGGTTACAGTTTTGTTTTTAAAATACAGCATTTTTATGTGGTAAAAAGACATAAAATAAGTATGTTTTGGACTACTAAAAGGTGACTTCAAGGGTTTTGTTGAGAGTTTTGATGTTGTCTGAGAAGTGAGAGAAAAGGTAATTGACTGGTAATAGTAAAAAGAGGGACAAAGAGAGTGGTCTTCAAGTAAAGGTGTCTGGCTATGCCAGAATGTGGAAAAAGATTAAAGCTTAGTTTGAGAGGTATTATTGTAAGTTGTAGAAGGCTCAAGAGGATGTGAATTTTATTTGTCTTAATTTATAGTACTACAAATAACAGGTTTGACAAGAAGTAAATGTGTTCAGAATTTGACAGTATTAGATCAGTTTTGGTAAAAGTATTCATAAGATTGTACTTTGCTGCAAAATGTTTTCATTAAAATGAGATTATAGGTGATATTAAAAATAAGATACAAGTTCTTACATGTGCTGTGAACATCTGGGAGATTATACAGCACAATTTTGTTACCTATGAAAAAGCCCTTTTTGTTAAGAATATAATTTTAATAAAATAATGGCCTGTCACGTGACACCCTTGGACAAAAAATCAGTGTGCCATCCAGATGAAGCCGGCTCTCTGATCCGGAATGCCAAAACCATGTTCTCCTTTTGTGCTACCCTGACTGGACATCCAGAGGTAAGGAGGTTTCCCAATATTGCCAGTTGTTCTCTTTGTAACTCAGTCGGCCCCACATGTTAGACAAAAATTACAAAGGTTTGAGAGGTTTAAGAAAATGCCCCTCAGCCAGTTAATAGAGATAGCACAAAAAGGTCTTTTGAGAACTAAAAAATTTACAAAAAGATAGCCAAGGTGTTAAAATTGCTCTATGAAAAAAAAACTTTTAAAAAACAGACGAGAGTTTCTGGGGGCAGTTGGATACTGTAGGCTAAATTTTACTGAAAAGCTTGCCTCTATATGACTGACTCCCATAAGGGAGAAACTCAAAATTCGCTGAACTGGACTGATAAATGTAAACAGGCCTTCCAACAGCTCAAGCGGGCCTTGACAGAGGCCCCAGCCCTGGGACTCCCTGACGTTACCAAGCCTTTCATCTTGTTCATAGATAAACTCAGGGACATTGCCAAAAGAGTCCTAACTCAGGACATTGGCCCTTGAAAGAGGCCTATAGCCTACCTCTCCAAAAGACTTGATCCAGTAACAGGAGTATGGCCCCCTGCCTAAGAATACTAGCTACTGTGACAATGTTACTTAAGGAGACAAAAAAACTCGCTTTGGGCAAGTGATTTCTGTGGTAACCTCTCACAGTTTAGAGACTCTTATCAAAACCCCTCCTAAAAAAGGCTCTCAAATGCCAGAATTCTACTGTCAAGCCCTGCTTCTAGACCCAGAGTTAATGATATTCAAGACTTCTTCAGCTTTAAACCCAGCCACCCTTATGCCTGATGATGATCCGGAGGAACAAAGGACACCTCTCTCCATGAGTGCGCTGACATCCTCGAACTGCAGCAGAACCTACAGGCTGATCTTACTGACCAGCTTTTGGGAAATGCCGACAACTGTTCGATGAAAGCAGCTTCATCCAAAACGGCAAACGAGTGGCCGGGGCAACAGTGACCGCTGAAAAGGAGGTACTCTGGGTTAAGCGGGTAGAGTCTGGCACTTCTGCCCAAAAGGCGGAGCTTGTTGCTTTGACTGAGAGGCTAAAACTAGCCACGGAAAAGAGGGTAAACATTTTTTTTTACTGAAGACATCCCTTTGCTACTGTACATATACGGGGAAGCCATCTAAAAATGCTCCACAGATTCTAGATTTGCTGGCAGCTGTCTGGCTGCCTCAATGGGTTGCTATTCCTTACAAGGCTCACCCAACCAGAGATAAAAAATAACAACCACATCAGAGGGGTCAACCAAGAAAGTAACTGCTCTGATACTAGTCCTCTGACATTGTCAGAACTAGTCTACACAAAGAAAGACCTACAGTTGACATCTCAACTTGGAATAAAGTCTCCCACCCCAAGGGGCTAATACCAGTTACCTGATAAACAAGTACTGTTACTGGAGGCACTAGGGTGGGAGCTGTTTCACCTTGCAGAATTGTTCAGAACTCAGTATTTTATTCCAAAACTCTACAAACTGACCACCTCTTCGAGCTCCAGATGCCCACAGTGCTTGTTAGTCAACTCAGCCAAGAGCTCTGCGTTGGAGACCACCCGACATCAAGAAATTGTTCCAGGAGAACATTGGGAAATAGACTTCATAGACATGGTAAAACTTAATTTACAGGGACACCGCTATCTCTTGGTATTAATAAACATTTTTACTGGCTGGGTAGAGGCTTTCCCTACTAAGTCTGAGTCAGCCTTAGTGGTAGTTAAAAAGCTATTGCATGAGATCATACCTTGATTTGGCCTCCCACTATCAATGGGGTCCGATAATGGCCTGGCTTTCATAGCCCGAGTCACCCAAAAGTTAGCCCAGACATTAAAGATTAATTAAAACTCCACTGTGCCTATCAGCCACAAAGCTCAGGGCAAGTAAAACGTATAAACCAAAGTCTCAAGGACATTTTAGCTAAGCTGTTTTCAAAAACTGGCGATAATTGGATGAGCCTTCTTCCCTTTGCACTGTTAAGAGCTAGATATACCCCATATGTTTCCAAAATTTCCCCCTTTAAAGCCATGTTTGGGAGGCCCCCGCCATTGGTTCCAAGATTGTCAGAAGACAAATTAGCTAAAATTACTAATCGAGATCTTAAGTCCCTACAGACACTCCAACCTGTGTTGGCCTGGATCCACCAGCTGTTTAGACAAAAACACTTGGACCTGCCTTCAGAGACCAAGGCCTCAAGGACTCCAGTCTTGGTTCGATGTCATCACCATGACTCCCTCGAACCCCACTGGGAAAGACCTTTCACCGTGGTGCTCAGTACCCCCACTGCCATCAAGGTAGCAGAAAAAACTGCGCGGATTCACTACACTCATGTAAAGCCACTGAAAACAACAGACAACGAGGGACATACTCAGTGGACTACACAACAGACTGATAACCCTTAAAGTTAAAAATTGACTAAAGCATAGTTAGATTATGCTGGTCATGAACTGTTTTAGCTTGCTTGTTTTGATTTTAATAACATTGATGCCGACCTTGCATGGCGGCTTTGGTCCCCCTGTAAGCAAAAAAAAAAACAATTGTTAAAGATCTTTGTATGGGAGCCCCCTTTAAAAAATGTAAAACGGAATTCTCCCCTATCTCCTTCCCTTGATAAGACCATTAGTGACCTTAATCCTAATCCTAGCCATTGTCCCTTGCCTCATTAACTGGATTACCCAATTCATAAGGGGACAAGTCTCTCAGGTCAAATTAATGGTCATACGTCACCAATATAAACCCCTAGCTACAACAAACCTCTAAGATTAGAGGTCATCCACAAAAAAAAAAAAAAAAGGGGGGGAATGAAGAGACGAAGAAAGCTCGTTCCATCTGCTGCTTCCCCTCCCCTTCTCCCTTCAAATCCAACTAGGTTAAGTTTTAACTTCCTAAAGGCCATAAAACAAAGGCCTGAGGTACTAGCTCCTGACATCCTGGGTCTTCCCTATCTGGTAGCCCCGTCACAAATTGTGTTAATTGCATCAGATTGTATTAGATTGTACATTCTTCACAGAAATAGCTTCGTTTATATCATAGTAATACCTGTAACTGTAAATGTGTGTCTTCCTTTTCCCCTGGGTAAAAGATTGATATGTTAATCAATGCTCTCATCTGTAAAGAATTGTAAAATCTTACCCAATTGATATGTTAACCATTGTTGCCCTCTACAAATAGAAAGGTTGTGGTGCTAAAGTAAGGTAATTATGTCAGGAAACTCAGAGATAAAGTCTGCTGACTATGCTAATCAAGATTGGGAAGTATGTCAGAACCAAGCCACACAGGAGCTAGGTGACCTAAAAATAAGCTGTGCAAAACAAGACAGTTAATCAACTCTGACCCACTGGTCGCCCCTCATGATCTGACCAATCACAAATGGACAAATCACCAACTGTTCTGCTCTAACTGCTATGATTGGCTTCTGTAACAATGCTTGCTTACTTTGCGGTTTTCATCCTTAAAAACACCAGCCTTGCCCCAACTCAGGGTTCTCCGTTTCCACCTGTTTGGAGGACCCCGTGTACACGGAATAATAAAAACCCCATTGTTTTTACATGAGAGCAAGGCCCTTAGAGTCTTCCTCGCGACACCGGTCTAACAATCTCAGTTCCCAGGGATTTTTCAACCCCAGGTTCTAGGTACACCTAAACTCATAGTGACCTTTTCAGGGTAACTGTGTCCTCCTCATGGCTTTTGGCTGTAACAAGACACAATAGCAGGAATTCCCAAGTCGAGTTGCATGTAAAAATCACCTAAGGACCTTTAATAGCACTGCTTCCTGATCTTAAGTGCTATATTGTTGGTGTACATTACAGCCTTGATGTGTGTGTGTGTTTACTGGTATTGAGCCCAGGGGCACTCTATCACCAAGCTACATTGCTAGCCCTTAATTTTTGTTTTTTGAGACAGTGTCACAAATTTATGAACCTCCTGCCTCAGCCACCTCAGTAGCTGGGATTACAGGCATGTGCTATAATACCTGGCTGAAACTGGGATTTTAGAAGATGAGTGTAATGTGCAGCCAAGACTAAGAATCAGTGTAATAGAGGACATTAACTCTTTCTAGGTGCTGAAAGGACACAAAGAAACAAGTAGGATCTAGTAGCTTAATCATGAGGCCTTCTATGAGAGTTTGGGAGCCTCAAGTGCCTACAGGAAAGGAGTTGACTATTAAACAGATTGCCTGAGGGCAGTATGCTAGGACTCCTGGAAGTCTGCGCATTTCCCAGTGTTACTCAGTAAAACTATGGTTTGGGAAACTATGGTTTTTCCTTTGGAAGTTGAGGTCCTGGGGAAAATCAAAACCCTACAACTCCAGCCCAGGCTTATGGGCTCCTGTTGGCAGTAATCTCTTCATAGACCTGGGAAAATAGGAAGAGTTTCAGAAACTATGACTAACTTTATGACACACTTTAAAAGGTCAGTTCTAGGATGGGCTGGCCCAGAAGCCTCTAGTCCCAACTTGTACACAGCTGTGGGCACCTTGAGTGAGGGGCACCATGCTCTGGGTTGAAGCTGAGCCTTTGAGTAAAGGAGGAGACAGAAGGAGGAGGAATGGTGGCACTGACATCAAATGTGAGTGCTTAATTCTAGCAAAGGTCCCTCACAGCCCTTGGGATGAAACTCTACGAGGTCTTTCCAATTTTGGTCCGGCCCACTGACTTCTCAAGTCCTTTGTGGCCACTTTCTTTCCCAGTCATTTTGAATTTCACTGTTCTTAAAAGCTGTGATTTTAAGTGTTATCAAAAGTAACTGGCGAGTTACAAAACTTATAGTGAGTTGAATCCAGCATAAGAGAAAGAGAGAAATTTAATCAGACTAGAATAGAATGCAGAACATCTCCATGTATTACACATAATAAGTGCAAGTGAAACTGTGTTCCAAGTATGTGTGCGTGCAATGTGCAGGTTTTTTTTTTTTCAGTGTAAGCTGGCAGAAATCTTTGAGAAACAGATGCAACTCTCTGCACTAGGTCTTTGTTGGTGCAGTCCCCTTTGAGGACAAGAGACTATGTGAATAGCTCCTCTTTTAGACTTAATTGATATCACTCAGCAATTCTCAGTACACCCTGTGCTTGCCTTGTCTACATTAGATAAAAACTCAGACATTGAGTGACTGAATGATAAACCAGAGTTCATTGACTCTATTTTTCCCAGTTTTATCTGAAAAATTTTGATACATAGTACAGCTGAAAAAATAGTATAACAACCTCTGTACCTTACATTTAGAGTAATTACCTTTAACATTTTTCCATATTTCTTTTTTGTCTACCTTTTCTCTGTCAGTTCAAGGATACATATAAATATTACCCCTAAATACTATAACAGATTTCCCCTGAGTAAGTATATAATCACAGTATTATTAACATACCTAAGAATAAGACTATAATTCTATAATAATAGCTAACAAGCAGTTTATATTTGGGTTTTTCCAGCTGCCTCAAAGATATGTTTTGTAACTATTTTATTTAAAATCAAAATAAAATAAAATAAAATGCATTGGATTTTACACCTCTTTAGTTTTGTTTAAATTAGAACAATTCTTTAACCTTTTAAATATGTTTTTATGTTTTCAGAACTGGTATTGAACGCAGGACCACTAAGCTATGTCTCCAACCTTTTTTCATTTTTTATTTTCAGCCAAGATCTCACTAAGTTACTGAATTGCACAGGGTTGGCTCAAGCTTTTTATTCTCTGATTTCAGCCTCCCAGAGTGTTGGGATTTTAGATGTGCAAGCATGCACCATCATGCTTGTCTGGTTCTGCAAATTTGATTTTTGGTTCCCTGTGATGGTGTTTAACTTCCTTCTCATCCTAGTATTTCCTAAAGGTCAGAATGAGTTTTAGAGATTTGATTAAACATTTCTGACACTAACGCTGCAAGTAATATTACCTTTGTACTTTGATCTGTCGGGAGGCACACTCAGCTTATTCCAATCTGAATATTAATTGTGGTACTTGTTTAGGGTAGTGATTGTCAGAGCTGCCCTTATGTAAAATATTCCTTTTGTTGGTAAATAATTTGTAAGCTTAAGAGCACTCTGCAGCCTAGTGTTTTCTGTGACCATGGATAATTCTTTGGGCAAATTCTTAGCCCAAGACTGTATATAGTTATTATAATGCCTGTCTTTCAAAACTGATGTGTGATAACATTTGAAAGTATCACACATGATGGTGCTTGTGAAAATGCTGTCATAGTCTGTCATAATTCCCATCTTCGAAGAATATCATCTTTTTCCCTTAAGGAAGTTCTTATCCTACTAGAGAAGTTGTGGCTTCTTGGATGACCCCAACTGCTGGTTATTGTGGGTTGTGGCTGGCTCAGGCTGAGCTGGTCATCATGCCTCAATTCTTTTGGCCAGAGTAGAATGGTCTTTTGTCTCCAGATGGGCTAATCAGAATGCTCCACTGGGAATCTGTAACTAAGTAAGGGCAAAGAAAACTTTGTTTCCTTTAGTGCAACCTTGAAGACTTTGTGTGCCTGTGTAGACTGTTAGCATCACTGAAAATTCTAAAAGGTTCACCATCAATGTCCTTGGATGACCTGAGGATGTGTCTGGAGACTTGTTGAGGGCTATTTTTCTAATCATCTGGTGATTGGAAAGCCTGCGGGTGGGGAGATCCATGCTCTCTTTGTGGGATCAGGGAAGAGAGGAGTTCAAGGTCCTTCCTGGCCTGAATGTCTTCTCTTTCCAGCACTACCTATGCTCAACCCAGCCCCAGCCAGGGACGCTGAGCCTTTTGGCAGAGAGTCTTGTCATGTGCTTCTGGCATGACGGATCATTCATTAAATCGCTTATCCATGGGCTTTCACTCACTCCTGTGCTCTTGGAATATGAGCTGATTTGTGGGGAAGGGGAAGGAAGTGTCATCCATGGCCCTAGTTTTTGAAAAATTGAGTAATAAACACATTTCTTTAGTGAGTACAGAATCAGGAGATGGGGACTGGTGACTTCTCCAGCCCAGTGTGGCTGCCTTTGCTACTAGAATCAGCTAACCCATTCCCATCCCAGGCTGGAAGAGTGTTTTCCCATTTTCAGAGTTTTCTCCAGGTTAAAATGCCCTGGGTGGGTGGGGGATGTCACTAGCGCTGGTGAGAGGAGCAGACAGGATTCAGGGAGGGTGGAAGGGGAGCTGAATGAGAGAGGGGGAAGGTCTGTGTAAAGGGTCTGAGGGACGGGAGCAGGGTTCCTGTGGTGTCTGAGGCTCTTGCCTTTCTTTCCCTCTATGTATAGCTGGTATTTAGTGCTGTGTCTGCTGAAGGTCTTTTCCAGGCACATCACTGGTTCTCTTTCAGCAATCCAACAGGCTTACAGGGTGTTTTTATTTTCAGTTTACAGACAAGAAAGCTAGGACCCAGGAAAAAGTGACTTATCCAAAATTACCCTGCTGGTGATGGCAGAGCTGGAATTCGAATTCAGACCCCACTGACTTTGGACTGCTCCAACTGCTACCAGTCTGTGAGCGAGGCCAATATGGCGAACCTACGTGCGGAGGCCGGGCAGGTGAGGTGCTGGGCGGGGCAGGGCTGGAGTGCCCGCAGCGCCCGATCAACCATCAACGGATCAACGGCGGCGGGCAAGCGCCCAGAGTGTGCTGGGCAGGCTCCGTGGGAGGCCCAGTGGAAGCCCAGAGAAGGAACCACAGTCTGAAGGGGAATCAGAGGCCAAGAGCAACCTCTCTTCCCCTAGAGAAGCCTTTCCCTGGGATGGGATGGAATGGGATGGGAAACCCCGGCGGTGCCCAGGTGGGAGGCCAAGAGATGTCCCTGAGGGTGGGAGAATGTGGGGCATGGAGAAGTCCTCTTCCCAGTCCTTACCCACAGCCCCAAATCAGGCACCCCTAACTGCCCCAAGGGACAGGGGACACGCGGACCTGGAAAACGTCCCTGTGGCTTTGGGGCCTTGAGGAGGCAAAACCTTGACATTGTGAGGCCAGGGCTGGAGGACTGTCAACAGGAAGGAACCTCTGTCCATGTCTTGGTCAGTTTGCAGCCCAATTTCCCACAAATTAGGGGTGGAAACAGTGAGTGCTCCATGCCGCCAACATGCTTTCTTCCTTGGTCCCTTCCCCAGTCCAACCCCATGCGCTTTAGGTCTTCTTGTTACTGTCCCAGGGAGGTGCCAGGCTTCAGTTCACACCCTGTAGGGCTTGAATTGTGGAACCTTCAGACAGGTCAGTCCCGCCTAGTATTTAATAGTGAATAACAATTGTTTGTCATGTTCTAGTCAAAGCAAAAATTGAGTAATTCCATTCCCCCACTTTTTTTTTTGCCTTTTACCCTATTCATATGCCTCTTAGGGAAAAATTACTGGGTCCTGGAGATGCAGCTAGTGGTGGAGTGTTTGCCTAGCTTGCTTGAGACTCTGTATTCCATTTCTGTCAAAACGAACACCAAAAACAAGGAGGAAAAAAAGCAGTCACTGGCTCCCCTAGATTTGGGAATCACTGAACTGCTGGCTGTTGGGGGCTGGTGAGGTGGATGGGGCAATGATGGAGGATCCTGGACCCTGTGCTGCAGGGACTGTGGGATCCTTTGTCAGTCAGTCCCTCTCTCTGGCTCTCCCCTTTAAGGCTGAAGTGACTATGCTTCTCCAGTCTGGTCTGTATCAGAGCATGTCTTAAACTGCATGTCTCTGGAAGCACAGTTGTCTAATACTAGTACTAAGTGCTGTTTCATGTGAGACCTGGTGCCTGGGGAAGAGGACAAGTTCCTCGTCACCGGAGAGTGGCCAGGCTGTGGTGGGGCACACAGAGGTATCCTCAGGCTGCGGAGATGTTAGTTCTGTCCTGTGTGATGCACTAATGTGTGTCTCCCCTCAGTATTTACCAAGAGCCTTTGAGTTCCAGGTGATTTCATCCCTGAATCGTCACAGCTGACCCAGGAGGGTGTGGGGTAGCCAATAGGTGCATAGCTCATTTTTGTTGAGGGAATGGAAGAGGTTTCTTATCTGGAAATGCTATGTGGAGTGGTCAGAACAAGCCACACTCTTCAGGGGAGGTAGATCTGAAAGGCTTGGGGAAGTGATGATGAACTATGGCACACACCCTACAGTGGGCTGTTTGTTAACATTGAAAGATCTCAAAGATTTGCCGTCACTGACTTAGGGGAACAGAGAAGCCATCCTGGGAGGATCCCAGGCTTGGAGGCTGGTGTGCTCTGACTGTGATGCTGTGTGTGTGGAAGGAGGCATGTAGGTGTGGGGGCAGGGAAGATGGGTGCTCTGAGAACTTTATGAAAGGAAGCAGGAGTGGGTGAAGAAGGCGAATGAGTTGCAAGTGTGAAGGGAAGGGAGAAAGCAGCATAAACTCAAGCTGGAGTCAGCGTGAGTGAGAGCATGATGGAAGCAGGGAGGAACCAAGGTCACTACTAGAAAGGCTGAGATCTGGGACTGTACAGGAAGGGGCCACGTGTCAAATGAGATGCCCAGCCTGTGCTACCCATCTGGAATCAGGGGACAAGATGTGGCTATGACTCTTTGTGTGGGTTTTAGAGTTAGGGTTTCTTATAAATTTGCTCTAACCCTCTTCCTCATAGTAGAGCAAAGGAAACTGAGGTTCTGAGATTGATATGTCAATTTGGCCTGAAGAGTGGGTGGAAAGTCAAAGGAAAGACTTAGAGAGGGGAAGTTTCCTCAGATGGAAAGAAGAGAAAAACTGACACAAAGAGGAGAAGGTGAATCAGAGTGTTTCCAAGTCATCTTGGCTGTAATTGGAAGAAAACTTCCCACCTAGAGTGATCAGCATATTTGGTGTTGGAGTGCTGGGAAGGACTTTCACCTCTCTCTTTTACTGTCAGACTTGCTGGACTGCAGGGATCAGCAGCTGTCTAAGATGTTCCCTTCCCTGGCTGCATCAAGGGTCTGCATCAGGATTATAGTTGTGCCCAGGGCCCGTACTGGGCATGGGTGCTTTCACAGAGTGCAGGAGAGAGGGGGAAAGAAGCACCCTCTGTCCCATGGCCTTGTCTTCTGAACTCACTATGCACAGCTTGAAAACTGCGGTGCTGCCACATAGAGCCCTGGTCAGCCCCACTCTTCAGACCCAGCTTTGGTGTGGCTTGGAAAGAGGGGCTCTTGTCTTCCTATGCTCCTTACTTATTTTGCTGCATCTTTTGTCTTTCTTTCACCTAATGCCCTCGCCAGATGCCCAGGCTCATCACGGTGCCCCCTGATGCATCCGGACCAGGCCTGCTCTTTCTGCAGCACACCAACCTTCCTTCTAGCTTTTCCTTTCCTCTCCCTGCTTTTCTTTCACTACTTCAGGAAAATTAGAGGAAATCTTAGGGCTCCCAGGCTTAGCAAAGACAGAAGGGGACACAGTAAATGTGCTCCGAGTTGTGCCTTGAAGTTGCGAATGACTCCCAGCTCTTTCTCCTACAGGGAGGTTTGAATTTTAGAAGTCACCTTCCATTCCTACCTCCATCTCCCACTTTTAATGAAGCACTTGGGCACAGAGCAGAGTTTGGTGCTTCACTACACATACTTTTTAAAAAAATTTTATTTAAGGAGAAAAAAGAAAAAAAAACAGAAAAGGGTACAAGTTATACAGAATTTCAGAAAAAATAAACAGTAGGAAATCACTAGTTAATTGTATATTGTCATCTTGGAAATAGTGGTTGAAGTTACCAAATTAAAGCATATAGAGGGGACTTTCAAACAGTGAGTCTGCAAACAGCTTTGTTCAATGATCCAACAAAACTCAGTAATATGGTTATCTATCTTATACACTTAAATATATATGCAGTTATATCTTTTAGAGAACTTTCTTTTCCTTTCTTTTGTACAACGACAATTACACATTTTGGGTTTTATTACTCCCACAGTTCTTATTACTTTTTTTTTTGAAGAAAGTAAAACCAAATGTGACATACCAGGGCAGAGTCAGTCAAATCAAAAGGATGGACATAATACATAATGTAAAAACAAAATACAAGGTGATCAACAATGGTTACCATAATGCCTCTTGTTATCTTAAAAAGAATTGCCTATATCATCAGTTATAATAAAATTGAACAAAACAGTAAAGAATAAGACCAATAAAACCAAAACATTGGAGACATTAGAGGACTTCAAAAGAAGATAATGGTCAACCAGAATGGGCGTCACAATGAATCTTATTGTCTTCATAGTTGTTGCCTATACTTTCAAACTTGGTACTATCAAGCATAACAGAATAGAGGAAAATCAGTGAAAACAAGATGGTGAGAGCAATACAGAGTTTCAAATCAAGTTAATAGGAAATCAAAGTGGGTTATATAATATATCCTGCTATTTTTTATTTATTTTTCCCTTAATTAAAAGGATAAAAATGAAAAAGTAGATAATAAAAAGGAGATTGAGATAAAAAAGAGGGCATAACAACAAAACAGTGCAGGTCAAAACATAGCCATTTAAGCAAAATAGTGTTTCACCACAAGATAATCTCGACATAACAGTAGTTACCATAGTGTCTCTTCCCTTAAAATCTTTGGGTATAACTTCGTATACTGTAGCATCAAACATATCAAGACAATGTAAAACCGTTCAAGAGAATGACAGTATTACAGGGTATTTAGAATCAACTAACAGAAAATGAACAGTGGTTTCTGTATAATCTCCTTGTCTATAAAAGTTTTTGTTTATATTATCACATATAATAAAATCCAATAAGATACAACAGGTTAAAACCGATGGAGACAGAAGAACAAAAGTTGATGGGACTTCAAAACAAGAGGACATTAAATCAGCACTACCTATTATGATGTCTTGTTTTCTCCAAAATAGCTGTTCCTACCATCCAACCTTGTTTGCCTCATTTCTGTTGAGCTCTTTTTCTGTGATTAGTTGTCAGTTTGTCTTCTTCATTTTGCTTTCTGCTCCATTCATTGTGGCCGTTCTGCCACTGTTTCTGGAATCTTGGTATTTTTCATTTTTAGAATATCCTGCAGTAATCTCTGTAGAGTTGAATTGGTGGTTGCAAATTCCCCTAGTTCCTCTTTATCCTGGAAGCACCTTGTTTTTCCATCAATTTCTAGGGACAGTTGTGCAGGATATATCAATCTTGGCTGGAGGTTATTATCTTTCAAAGCTTGAATTATTTCCCCCCAAACTCTTCGTGATTTGATGGTTTGTGCCGAGAAGTCTGCTGTAATTCTGATGGGTGTTCCCTTGTAAGTTATCTGTTTCTTGTCTTTGATGGCTTTTAATATTCTGTTCTTATATTGGATTTCTGGAATTTTGATTATTATATGGCTGGGTATGGCTCTGTTTGGGTTGTAGGTGGCTGGGGTCCTGTATGCCTCATACATCTGAGTATCTTTACCTTTTGCTAAATTAGGGAAATTCTCCTGGATTATTTCTGTGAATAGCTTTTGTAGTTCATTTGTCTGAGTCCCTAAGAGATTCCCTCCTAGTCTATAAAAGAGTCCCCATTTCTCTCACTCACTGCAGGTCGATGCAGGGCTCCCTGCCAGTCCCGCTCTCAATGCCGTTTGGTTCGCCGATTCCAGCTCTCAGAGCTTTCGTGCGTCTCTCTCCCTGCCGTGTTGATTGGGACGCAGTATGGGCAGCAGGAAATTCAAATCACGGCTTCCAGTGGCGTGGGATCCAGCTTCCACACTGAGATTTTATCTGTTCCTATTATAGCATCAGGATTGCATTTCCAGTTGGTTTCTCTCAGCTTAGTTCATTCCTGGGTCGGCAGGGTACATCTCCCCTCACGTAGGACTCCTCACAGGGCACCGCTCCTGGATTCTAAACTGGTAATCTCAGAGAGCCTCCATGGCTGCTGTTATTTGTCCACCATTTCTCCCGGAAGTCCCCACTACACATTCTTTATTTGGTCTTTTCAGTGGCCTTTTGGACAGTTGTTATATTACCCCTTTTTCCAAGTAGAGAAATCAAGGTTCAGAGAGTTTGAGTAAATTCTCTAAATGACACAGCTAGAAAGTGGCCAGGCTGAGATAATGACTAAGGGCCCCTGAAGCTAAGACCAGTCAGCACTTACCTAGCACAACAGCACAGCTCTTTCAGAAGACATCTTACTGACAAGGTTCGTGAAAGAGAAGACACGTTGGGGTGAGGGCTTCTATGGATGAGGACTCCTTAGAAGAGGGCCTTGACTCTCAGGCTGAAGGAGCATCTGGTTTTTCAGGAAGTTGTATGGAGCAGCAAAACTAAAAGCAAACCTTTATTTGTGCATAGGACCTACTCATTCTTCAACAGATGGCCAGATGGGACCTTGTGATAAGAAAGCTGTCACTGAGTAAGGCACTTGAGGTCAGCGCCTTATTCCTAGTCCAAGTGCTTAGCCTGCAAAACACAAGTGACACAGAAGAATCTGGTGCAGATGTTTGCCAGAAGTAGGATGAGCCTCTGCAGAATGGAGAGATTAGTACTGTAGAGCCGAAGAGGGCTTGAGGGGGCCAGGCTCACCTTCTGGTTTTGTTACGGGACGAAATTGATGCTGACAGAGGGTACCTGCTATGCTCAAGGCTACCCAGTGCGGCAGCAGCAGATATTTCATGCATGTTTTAGGTCAGCTGCAGAGTCCTGCAGGCTGTAAAGTTAATCAGAAGAAACAAATTCCCATTGGCAGAGCATTACCTATGTTCTATGCCCAGTACCTGCATCTCCGTGGGCATTGCCTCCTTTACTCTGTGCCACAGGCAAATGTGGAGATGTCCTACTTCCACTATTACTTTTCCTTTGCACAGGTGAGGCCGACTTTGGAGGACAAATGCATGAAGAGATTCTGCTGGGCCATTGCCCTGGCCTTGGCCTCCCTGGGCTACCTACTCATACTGGTGATCTCCATCTTTCCCTTCTGGGTACGTCTGGTGGATGAGGAGTCCCATGAAGTGTTTTTCAGTGGCCTGTTTGAGAACTGTTTCCATATCAGATGCTTGAAGCCTCGACCTCTAACCAGTAAGGAGTAATGGGATTGAGGATGGGGGAAGGGGAGATGGGGCCAGTGGGGGGGCCAAGGTAGGCTGGTGGAAGAGGACAAAGTTTAATAAGCCCATAAGGATGCCTTCTCTGAGTCTTCACTCTCTTGGAGTGAGAGGACAGTGGGATGCTGGAGAAAAAAATCTAATAATGTCCAGTTCACTGTAGTAGAGACAGAGATGCCAGGAGCAAAGCTTTTTTTCTAGGCCGGGAGTGCTATAGGTGGAATAACAGGTGGGTTCTGGTGCTGCCCCTGGGAGCTGCCATTAATTTGCACACACAACATTCTTATGGGTAGGTACAGCTTCCAGCCAGGGAGAGAAGCATGGTTAACAGAATATAAGGCTGGATTTTGGCCTCCTTTTCTCTTCAGATAATGTACTCAAGCTTGGGGATCTTATGTGAGAGGGAATGGATACAGCTATATGAGTTCAGAGGGCTTGAAAGCCTCCTCAAAGTGCTATATCTATATATGTATATATATTTATATATGGGGATGGAGCAGGGTCTTGCTGGCAGTTCAGGCTATCCTTGAACTGGGTAGCCTAGGCTGGTCTCAAACTTATGGCAATCCTCCTGCCTGACCCTCTCATGTGCTGGGATTACAGGTGTGTGCCACCAGGCTCGGCCTCTTAAGATCATTTTTGTAAAAAATTTTTCTTTTCTTTTTTGGTGCTGGGGATTGAACTCAGGGCTCCGTATAGGCAAAACAGGCATACCACACTGATCTATATGTTTAGGCTCTATAAGGAACTTTTGAAGGCCATAAAGATACCTGTTTAATCAAATATATGACTCAGGGAAGACTCAGGGTTACCTCTTAGAAATAGGAAAAGGTACGTTGGAGAAGATGGGTTTGTTCCTGTGAGCTTTTTGACCCAGGTTTTCTCAGACTCAGCACCGCTGATATTTTAGGCTAAAATCTTTGATGTGGGGGCTCTTTCCTGTTTCTTACAGGATGCGTAGTAGTATCCTTGTCCTCTTCTACCCCTTAGATTCATCCACCTCTCTCCACTTAGAAAGCCAAAATGTCCCCAGGCATTAATAAATACTTGAGTGGCAAAGACTATCCCCAGGTGTGCACCACCAATTTAACCCAAGAGGAGACTCTGGAATGTCTGGGACTTCAGCAACACCCACCTTTTGTACTAAACCCATATGTGTATCTCTGGCAAAGTAGTTTTGAGATGCTCTGAATTATGCTGACAAGGGAATAAATCACCCTGTTTCCAGACTCTGGTTCTGCTATTTTTGGTGTTTCACTTATCATATTAACCAGAAAAATTAAATAGGAAAGAGAGGAGGTTTCTGCGAAATTCAGAATATTTTGACCTCATGGAGTTCTGATTTCTCATGAGGGAATCATTTACCATAGTCAGCACAGTTGTCAGTCTTCACACATGCACATATGATAAATTTTATTAGGAGAGTCTGATTTTGTGTTGTTTGTTAAAGCTACCATTTCCCCCAAATAAACAATACATGGTTTTCCCATGATTTGATATAACCAGATTTACATAACAATGTTTGTTACTATTGTAATAATGATGAATGGTTTCAGTGTCTAACATTGTCAGTAGAATTCGTTTTTCATTACCTCCTGTGTTTTTTGGAACAAAAATTGTGAAGCTAGAGAATTTTTCAAGGCAGTAGTAGGCTTATAGCATTGGTCCTAAGGCCATGCTTTGGGACCCAAGGGTGGTAGAGACTCCGAGGTTATCTGTGCCAGGTTATCTGTGTGGGGTTGTCCCTTTGGGGGCAGGGTCCACAGCTCCAGCTCTGGCTCTCCTTCTCCTGCAGTTTACATCTTCCTTGGCCGGATCTTCCTACTCTCTGCGGTTGTCTTGGCTTTCCTCACCAACTTCTTCATAGTGTCCTTTGCATCTGACCTCTTGTGGGGGATCCGGAGGCCCAATGTCCTGTCAGCCTTCATCAGCTTCCTCACAGGTGCGGAGTGGGATCAAGGAAGTGGGCAGTTGTTTTCTGTGATCCAATAGAAGTGTAGTTTTTTTTTTCAGTATGTGGCAAGGGTGGTGGTCAAATACCTCTTTGAGTGCCAGTCAAGTGCTCTATCACTGGGCCCTTCTTACTTTGAGACAAGATTTTGCTAAGTTGCTCAGGCTGGCCTTGAATTTGTGATTCTCCTACCTTAACATCCTCAGTAGTTGGGATTATGGCCATGTGCCATCCTGGGTAGCAAGAAGCATGGTTTTTAAGGTCCCCTTCTTTGCCTTCTCTATGAAGTATTGTACTACCATATACATTCTCTCAGAATTGAGGATACTTCTTCTTTGGGGCTTCCAACACTATATTTCCATATCTGACCTTGTGAGCTTAGAGTCATATGTCTGAACAGTCACTTCTGTATCCCAATGACTGTCATAAAATCTTGCAAAGAATTATAATTAAAATATATAATACCAAATTAAACAAACCTTTCTTTCCTTTTCTTTTTCTGAGAGTGGGCCTCACTATGTAGTTCAGGCTGGCCTAGACTTCACTATGTTGCCCAGGCTGCCTGAAATTTTCAGTGATCCTCCTGCCTCAGCTTCTTGAGTGCTAAGATTACAGGCGTGTGCCATTAGGTCCAATGAAGTAAGTGTTTCTTAATAAATGAATGGAAGATCATCTAAGCCCTTTGGAACCTTTTGGCATTTAAAAAGAGTGCCCACCCTGGTAAGTGCCCAACCCAGTGGCCGACATAGAAGGCATGCAGTGGGAAAACTGGGTGCAGTTTCACCCACTGTTTTACACACGGAGCACTCAACCTGAACTGAGCCAAGGACACAGATGCAGAAGGATTTGGGAAAAGGATTTCTGATGATGGGGCCCCTAAGTGGTGAAGTGCATGGCTTTGAGATGGGATGGCAAGGAAGGAGAGACAAACCAGTGAGGTACCGTGGGAAGCTGTTGGCTCAGAAAAGGGAAAGGGTGAAGGGAGGGAAGGAATTTACAAGCAGGAACTGCATCACTGTGTAATTCAGTGAGAGGGAAGTTGGAACCAAGACAGGAACCTGGGAGGAGAGCAAGTGACACTTGCTGTGACACTCCAGGGACCTGTGCCTTCCTGGCCTTGTTGCTGCATGCGTTGGAGATCCGGAATCTGAGGATGAAGCCCAGCCCCCCACAGTTCTCCGTGCAGTGGCCTTACTATGTCCTGTGCCTTGGCATCATTCTGTTCCTGCTGGCTGGTGAGTGTTTTGGAGCTGCTGTCCCTCTCCCTGGCCTCTTCTGCAATTAGAAGCCTCTCTGGGGAGGATTCTAGAGCTGTGGTATTCAGTACTGTAGCCACTAGTTATACCTGGATATTTAATTTTAATTACTTAAAATGAAATAAAGTTAAAAATTTAGTTCCTCAGTTATATTAGCCATATTTCAGATTTTTAGTTGCCATATGTATCTAGTTTTTGCTAGACACATATGGATGGTGTAGGTAAAGAAATTTTCATCTCTGCAGGAAGAGTTTGTTTGACTCTGAAAACACTCTTTCAAATGTCTATATCCTCCCTTATACTATCCTGGTTTGTATTCCTGCCTTTATCTTGAAATCTATGATCTTGTTCTTCACTGCAACTCTTTATCTTCAAACATTGTCGCTTATTTAGATTTTGGTTTTTTGGTCTTTTTGGGACAGGATCTCACTTTGCAGTTCAGGCTGGCCTTGAGCTCACTTTGTAACCCAGGCTGGCCTTGAACTCATGGCTATGCTTCCTTAGCTTCCCAAGAGCTGGATTTACAGGCACATCTCTCCATGCCTGGCTACTTGTTTATATTATTAATCCTAATTTTGTCCTAACTGTTAATCTTCTCTCCCCTTTGTGAACCTTAATCATGATCATATTATATTACAACCTGATTTTTAAATGTATCAAATATATAAAAACAATATTTATGATGTAGCTATAAGATACAGTTATGAATAAACTAAATACCCATCTCCAGTTATATAGTTTAAGAACTAGCCATGTCTTACTGAATCCATGTTTGTAAATTATAGCATTATTTTGTGTAACACTGAGAAGAAAAATTGGTGCCAAATATAATTCTGTGATGCTACAGCAGTTTTAAGTCTATGTTTTGCTGTTTTTCAGGCTCTTTCATGTAGTGTCTTTTTTTCCTGGTGTGTGTGTGTGTTCCAATCGTTAATTCATTTCTGTCCTATTTGTATTTGAGGCCTGGATTTTGAGTGTTTTCTCTAAAAGGATACACAGTTTCATTTATGTGTTCACAAAGAGTCAGGTATCACAAACACAGTCTTTAGGCTTTGTGAATTTAGCTACAGACCTGTATACCAGCTATCCTGTGTTCATGCATTTTCAGTTAGTGCAGGTAACTTATTACAGCAGAGTCAGTGTTAGATCTTCCACCTTGAGCAGACATGGGCTTTTTCTCCTATATTTTTGTGCCCCAAATGACCAGCAGAATGGAAACTTGGGGTGACCCGAATCGGGTCTGTATCTTTAGTGTGAAGGCTAATGTGAGTTTACTATCTAAATTCCTGTTTTTACTTTAGTTTTGGCTTCTATGAATATTTTACTTTGGTGCCACTCAGTGAAACGCTTAAACATAAAATTTTATTTTATTTTATTTTTTGTCTTTTTCCTTTTTATTGGTACCAGGAATTGAATTCACAACTGCCTGTTTGCAAAGCAGGTGCTTATGCCGCTGAGCTAAATCCCCAGCCCCAAACATAAAATTTTAAAGAAAACACTTTACTTAGAGTTTTTCCTGTTTTTAGTGGAAGAATAACTGGCCTGTTAAAAACAGAAGTTGTCTTTTATCTTGATAGTGTCTATTATTTGCTCAATATATCTCCGTTTGTTTTTATAAACGTTGATTAAGTCTTTTTCTTACTTTTCTGAGGGTCTTAAGTTGGACATCAAGAGGCCGGGGTTTTCTTTTTTTTTTGTCTTTTTCCTTTTTATCGGTACCAGGGATCAAACTCACGACTACCTGCTTTCAAGGCAGGCGCTTATGCCACTGAGCTAAATCCCAAGCCCCAGAGGCCTGGGTTTTCTGTTGGATTTTCTCTCTAAAGCTTCACCATTCACTTATTAATAGATTAGACAGTTGCGGATGTGTTTTCAGCTCCGATTTTTAATGTAGTTCTTTGTACTCCTTGTCCTTTGAGGTCCTGTTTCTCTTTCTATTGCTAATAAGCTCTGTTAGAGGGGAGAACCATGGAGGGTAGGTCCAGAACCAGAGACTCACATTGGAGGAAGAGTCCTTGAATTCTACATCACAGAGCCTTGAAACCCTCCCCTCTCACTGTCCCTTTTCCTCTCCTCTGACCTCAGCTTTTGCTGTTCTCTAGGTGCCATCTTCCTCTCTCAAGAAGCAACCTGCCATGACTGCCATTTGTTGCCCATTTTCCAGAATCCTCGGGCGACCCGGGGCATCTCACACCTGGAGAGGCTGGAGAGTTTGGGAGGAAGACTGAACTGTTTACAAAAGGGGGTACTGCAGCAGAACGAAACAGTTATCTAGCCCAAGATACTGTTTCTCTACCCTTCTTCCAGCTGTGTGAAGACATGCCTGTTGTTTCTGAGTGTCATGTCAAACCCTCACCCCCATATGCACAGCAATTCTGGCCTGCATGCATTTGAAATGTATTAAAAGTTCTTCCAACTTTTCTGAGCTTCTTGTGTGATTTTTTTTGGTAGGTGTTTTCAATAAAGAACAACTTCTCTGTTGGTTCACACCTCAAAAATCTAACGAGATTTTGTAAAACAAAAAATGTATAGAAAGTAATTCCTACATCAGGTGTTTGAGCTGAAAACCTTAACATGAAACTGGTGTTCCCAGATAAGAAGTGTGATTTGCTTCCTTTTGGGAAACTTTTCTTTTTCTTTTTTATTCTGTACTAGAGATTGAAACAAAAGCCTTCACACCGAGCCATATACCCAGCCCATTTCTGTATATTTTATTTTGAGACAGGGTCTTGCTAAGTTGCTCTGACTGGGCTCAAACTTGTAATCCTCCTGTCTCAGCCTCCAAGAGTACAGGGATTACAAGCATGTACCATCTCACCCAGCTCTAGGAAATTTTTCTTAAATGTGTGGTTGAGGGTAGGGTTGGAGCTGGTTAAAGGTGAGAACTTTAGCTTCTGAGACTGGAAGCCTGAACCCAGCAAATCTGTATCTTTGGGGAAAGCATAAGAATCAATATGCCAACCCTTCTTCCATGGTTTCAGAGAGTCAGAGGCCTCTGAGTACAGTTAGACTGTGTATCTTCCTCTCTTGTATTGTGAGCTTTAGGAATATTATACATTGGCATTCCTCTGACATAGTTCTTCCTTCAAATATCCCACCTTCCTAGTGCTAGTCTCACACTCCAGTGTTCATCTTCATCCTTTTCTTGATTGGGAAAATCCTCTTTATCTTCAGAATCACAACCGAAAAGCACCTATCCTGTGGTAGCTTCCAAGACATCCCTTGTTTTACAAATAGGATTCTGTTTCTTTCTTTTCTCAGAGAGTTTATTGTGGTATTTTTTTCTTGTCTTTTTCCTTTTTCCTTTTTATCGGTACTGGGAATCGAACTCACGACTGCCTGCTTGCAAGGCAGGTGCTTATGCTGCTGAGCTAAATCCCCAGCCCTTCTCAGAGAGTTTATTACATATCTTTTTTTTTTTTTGAGACAGGACCTCACTTTGTAGTGCAGGCTGGCCTTGAACTCACTATGTAGCCCAGGCTGGCCTTAAACTCACCATAATCCTCCATCTTAGCCTCCTGAGTGCTGGCATTACAGGTGTGTACCACCACACCCAGCTATATATCTTTTATTATAGATAAAAATATAGAAAATGGAGTCAGGGGTTGCAAGGAAAATGATTATAAGGGACACATAATTTATAGTATTATTTGTAATAGTCACCCAGAGTCAAATACAAAAAGTGCAGGAGATCTATCCACACACTAAAGATCTAGAAAATCTAGCTGAGGGCCTGGATCCCACAGCAATGTCTTGTACAGGTCCAGCTGAAGACCTAGAGCCCATGACAATTCCCCTGATGAGTCCAACTGGAGGCCTAGAGCCCATGAAAATGACTTATGCAAGTCTGTTTTACAGATCCGTCTTGGAAAGGCCCAAAGATCAGTGGCGGAAACAAGAAAGTCTATGCCAGCAGGGTGAAGGATCTGTGCTAGTAGGTTCAGGGTTCTACACTGGTGCCAAGAAACAATGCTCAAAATAAGGACCAGATCTCCCCCGAAAAGCACCGCAGCCATCCTTAGCATCTATGAGGTCCTGAACTCCTCCAATGATAAGAGCTGAGTTCCTATCAGGAAGCCAGCATGTCAAGCTTCTCCTGGAGATTGGACAGCATATATCTTTCCCTCTGGAGCCAGGAAGCAATGCTTGAAGCAAGAACTAAAACTCCCCCAAAGTGAACTGCAGCCATCCTCAGTGACAACGTCCCGAGCTCTTTTGATAAGCCAAGTTTATATCAGGGAAGCCAGCATGACAAGCTCCTCCTGGAGAAGTAACTGCTCCAAACAATAAAAACACTTAGGAGAACCCACAATGCTACACAACAATGCTACTCTTCCCCTCCAGGTCTCCTTTTTATTCTGGCAACAGTCCTCAGGTGGGTCCTCTACATGAAGCACACTGATTCATTTCAGCTGGGATTTAAGTTGGCCATCAGTTTTCTATCCATTATAAAAAGTTAAAAATGTATAGCCGTATTTCTTCTTGTGGTAGCATGGAATAATACAGAGTAGACTAAATGTTCCTGTCAAGAATGATAAAATCTATATAAAAAATAAAACACAAAACAAAAAAGGAATGAGAAAATCTATAATGTCAGCACTGGAGAGGCTGAGGCAGGAGGATTGCTGTTAGTTGGAGGCCAGCCTGGGCTGTTACATAGTGAATTCAAGGCCAGGTTGTACTACAAAGTGAGGCCCTATCTCAAAATAACAATGAGAAAAGTAAATAAATAAAAAGAACAAGAAAGTATTTGATAAAATATAAATATTTATGCTAATATTTTCTATAGTTCATTGAAAAGAAAGTTTTGTGCAATTATGTGTTTCTTTTTGTAAGAGTGTTTTTTGTGTCTAAGTAACTACTTTCAAAATAATGATAAACAGTGTGTTAACTTGTTAATCACTGTGTTTCAGCATATAATGCATATAAAATTATTATTTTTTTCAGGTACTGGGAATCAAACTCAGGAGCTCATGCTTGCCAGGCAGGCATTGTGCCACTGAGCTATATCCCTGGTTCCTGTGCATATAATGTTATTAATAGAATGTTATATTCCTTTTTTGGTACTAAGTCTATAAAATTCAACATCTTCATATGACATTGAATAGCAAATATCAATCTAGAGCAGTTACGTTTTAAGTGTTTAGTACCCAATGTTTACTATGTTAGAAGACTAGGTTTTTCTGGGAAAGGAAAGGAATCCTAAAGAGACTTGAAAATAGATCAGAGACAGGACAGACAGTGATCAAAGGACCATGGAGGTTATTTTAAGAGTTTATATGGTAACAATTTAAGGTGGGAAGAGATAAGACTTATGTGCAGAAATTTACTGCCATAAATGCTGTCATGAGTGACAGGTTTATGCGGTTAGCTTTGGGTCCAGAACACTTGTTCTCACATCTGATGGCCTGAGTTTGAAACACACTCCTACATAACCTAGGCTAGGCTTGAACTGTGATCCTTGTGTCTCAGTCTCCTGGGTCCTGAAATTACAGGCATGCAGCACCACAGCTGGTTATATATCTTTTATTATAGATAAAATACTAAATATAGAAAGTTAAAAATATACAGTCATACTTCCTCTTCTAGTAGCATGGAAAAATATGGAGTGGACTAAATGCTCCTGTCAAGAATGAGAAAAAAATCTATAAAAGAGTATAAAAAAGGAAAAGAAAACCAAAACAAAAGAATAAGAAAAATCTATAATTCCAGTATTATGTTATTGGATTGTAACAGTGAATTGAAGGCCAGGCTGAATTACAAAAGGAGACCCTATCTCAAAATAACAATAAAAAATAAATGAAAAGAATTGGAAACTATATTGATTAATTATAAACATATTAGTTACTTCATGGAAAAGAAACTTTTATGCTATTATCTGTTTTTATAACAGTTATCTATTATCTTTTTTTAATAACAGAATGCTTTTTTGCTATGTCTGAGTAACTACTTTCAAAATAATGTACACAGTGTATTAAATATCGTTAATCTTATTTTATGAATATTGTTCTATTTTTGCTTTTAAAAAAGTTTTGAAGGATAAAAAAACAAAAACAACATTTAAAAAGGAAAAAATGCAGCCAGTGCTGTACTTCAATGGGAGCCTAATATGCTCAAGGCACTGGGTTAATCTCCAGCACTAGAAAAAAGAAAGAAAGAAAGAAAGAAAGAAAGAAGAAAGAAAGAAAGAGCGAGCCAGAAAGAAAAAATGCAATTGGGCTACACTGAAAAGTTAATTAAGTTAATTAAAAGTAATAATTTTCTTTTAAGCAAGACACAACATTAAGAATATGAAACAGTAAGTAATAAAGTGGAAAAAGATATTAAATATATATATATATATTCCTAGCTGAAAGATACAAGGAATAGCTACATCTCAGTAAGAAAGACAAAACCAAATTTTAAAAATAGGCAAAAATCTCAAATAGATGCTAATATTATAGGCAGCTAAATTTGGTGGAAATATTGTAGGCAGTCAGACAGGATTAGGGCCTCAAGGAAGTCCGTGCAGAAGATAGTAATGCATTGAGACTGACGGAGGCCCAGTTGAAGAAAATTAAAGTCACAGTGTTTGGATTTTCATACTTCCCAAAGGGATAAACTGAAATTTGAGATTATTGGGATCACCCTTTTGGGATTTCCCATCATCTCATTGGGGTAAGGCCATTCTCTCCTACCAAGATTAAGACCACTCAGACTAAGACTAATACCACTAAGACTAAGACTAAAGACAAGACTCTAGACTATTGGCCAAGGTTAATGATGTCATCCATATCCCCTTGCTACCATTGGATCAATATTACAAAGCACGCATAATGATTAACAGAGCTTGTTACCCATAGTCTCATTAAAACATAATTACTAAAGGTGTATTAAAGCTGGAGGTGACTGACACTGACAGGTGAGGTGAAAGGCTCTGTAAGTGGTTCTAAAAGTAATGTTGAGGTCAAGGATGTAGCTCAGAGGCACAGCACCTGCTTGTGCTCAGAGGCACAGCACCAGCACTACAACGTCCTGAATTCTATCCCCAGTGCCAAAAATAAATATAAATAAATAAATGTAATGGGTGCCACCTTGATAGATGGCAAGAGGTTATTTTTTTTAAGAGCAGAAATATTTATTGAGAGAAAGAAAGCTTCTGTCTGAGAGAGAGAGAGAGAGAGAGAGAGAGAGAGAGAGAGAGATGGAAGAGATCCTGAGTGGGTTGCCTAAGAGGTTAATTTTGATTAACACAGGTTCTCACTTTAAATTCATCTTAAACACCCAGAAGAAATGTATAACCAAAAGATATAGGAAAGCAATCACATAGTAATAAAACCAATGTTAAAAGGGGTTCCAAATGCTTTCCCTTCTGGCAGTTTCCAGTTATGTTGGTAGCTGACAACTATCATGGTACATTAGGGAAAAAAACTACAGTGGA